AACTAACTAAATAAATAAATAAAGGAAAAAAAGAAAGGAAAAGGATAAAATAAAAGGAAACGGAAGGAAAAGTGCCGTCCGGGCTCCAAACGAGCCCGCGGGTCCGGAGCCGCCCGGCCGGGCTCTGCTCACGAGGGCTCAGGGGGAGGCGCGGGGCGGCGGCCGGGTCTGGCCCGGGGCCGAATGGGGTCCCACAGGACTCCGTGTCCGAAAGCGAAAGGGAAAGAGGGAGGGAAAGGAGCGAGGAGGTCCGCGAGGCGGCCGGGTGTTCTTCCATGAATTTTACTTTGCAGAGGGAAGGTTTACATAAGTGCTTAGGTGTTTAATTTCTCACCTAAACAGCAGAGTTGGTAATTTTAAGGGAAATAGAAAAAAAATTGCATTGTATCAGCTCTCACTGTCGCCGGCTCGGAGAAATGAAATAAATCAAAGTTAAAAGCTTGAGTATCATTTAATTATGGTGCGAATAGCGCTTGGAAAGAAGTAGAACAACATCTCTAAACAAATTACGGCCGGGCCAGGAAGGAATTATTAGATTGAAATTTCATTTAGGCTCGGGAGACACCGCGCTTCAATATGTAATCTGTTATGCCTCATCTGATTTGTATGCTTAATTCAGCTTGACGAATTTATTAGTTTTCATAATAGTAAAAAAATCGAGCGGCACTATGGGCTAACGCATTGTGTGTACTATAAATTGTGTGTCACCGTTGAAAGGCTGAAGTCTATAGAAATCTTTTATTAATGACAACACAGGAAAGAGGATTTTCTTGGGAGCCTTCGAGGAGCTCACGCCGCAGCCCCGCGTCTCAGCAGGCCATTAACACGCCGCCATGCTAATTAGGCGACTTCGTGAGTGATATCATTTCAAACTTTAAATTATGTTCTAATTAACGAGGGTTGTCCAATTTGCTTAATCTTCAGAAGCCTTTCTGCTCGGCTCATCAGCCCAAACCGCCGAGCCGTTCCGACGCCCGACAAAACTCCGCCGAGAATCGTTCGGGCTCCGCGGGGCTCCGGGCGCTGCCACCCAGGGCCCGCGCAGAGCCGCGCAGAGCCGCGCAGGAGCCCCGGCCTCAGCCCGGCCCTCGCCGTGCCCCGAGCCCCGAGGCGAGGACCCCCCGCTCGCCGGGAAGAAGCAAAGAAAGAGGCAGAAGTACCTCGCTCCGCCGGGCGGTCCGGGGGAAGGCGGCCTCGAGGAAAGGGCTCTCTGCGCGTCTCGCGCTCCGGCTCAACATTGACGAGGAGTTCCATCGCAATAAAATCTCCCCACGACGTATCTTTAACCCCTCCCGCATTGAGTTTAATTACTTGCAATAGTTGTTCTAATGTATGCCGTCACATGGGAGCGCGGAGGATGCATATCGTTAATATGAATTAATCTGGATAGTAATCACATCTGACAGCTCTCCGCAAACCGCCGCGCACAGCCGCCGCCCCACGCGGTCGGGACGGGGTCGAACGGGCTCGGGGCGCACGGAGCGGCTCTCCCCGCGCAACCCCCCCCCCCCCCGCCTGCCACCGCAGCGCGGAGAGCCCGCGCGGCCCCCGTGGGGGTACCGCCCCGCTCCATCCCCTCCCCGCCCGCGTCCCGGTCACAGCGCGCGGTCCCCGCCCGCCGCTCAGCGCGGGTCTCTCTCTGCCCGCGGCACCGCGGTCGCATTTTTGGAACGATTGTTTTTGTGGCTTTCAACTGTGATTTTTCTTTTTATCCTTTTTTTTTTTTTTTTTTTTTTTTTTTTTTCAGGGAGAGACGCACAGCGGTGCCCGCTGCCCCCCCGCCCAGAGGGAGGACGGAGCCAGAGGGTGGAAGCAGGAGCCGGCCGGCAGCCCCCGGAGCCGAGGGCTCTAAAGGAAGGGAGATCCTCCCCCAGCCCACGCCCCCAGCCTGACCCGCGCGGACACCTGAAGAAAAATCCCTGTCGCCTCTCACGTATCCGCGTTCTGATTTACGATTAAAATTTAAAGCCGCGCATTCATATTTTACCGAACCTAATGCGCCCCATCAATTTTTCATTCGTTCGGATGCGGGCTCCGCTCGCAGCGCGCCCCATCTCGGCGCGGGGCAGCGCCCGGCCCGGCCGCCCCCGCGGGGCCGCGCCGTGCGGACAGCCTCGGCCCCGCCGCCGCCGCCCCTCCCTACCCGCTGCCCTCACACCCGGCGGGGGTCCCCGCGGCCTCCCCGCCCCGCTCCGGGTCTGGTCACGAAATCAAACTTCCAGCCCGGAACGATCAATGGAGACTTTTCGCCATCCGCGGCGGCCCGTGCTTCCTGGCACTGAAATAAACGCAAGAAATCGAAACTTAATTACTTGAAAGAAATCCTGAAATCCCTCTGCATAATTTATCCCGGCAGTTTTAGCGACGTTTGTGTTGAACGAGCGCGTTTAGCTCCGCACGGGCAGGGGGCGGGACGGGCGGGGGGCTCCGGGTTAGCTCGCCCCTCGCCTTTAGGGGCAGCCCCGGGGCCGCCGAGGTCCTCGTCGCGCCGAGGGGTGGCACCCGGCAGCCACGAGGGAATCCGCCGCTTCGCCTTATCGCCCCCCGAGGAACGGCCGCCCGACGGGGCTCTCTCCGAGATGCTGAGGACGGGAGGCTGCCGGCTCGGGAGCCGACTTGGTCACAGACACCTCATCGAGTGCTTGAAGTAATGTTATGAAAGAATGAAAAATACATTTGGGAGCTGCCTGGAAACTGAAGTACATTTTGATTTAACTTACATTAACAGAAACCTAATGTAAAAGTGAAGGGATCTAACAAAACCATTAATTATTTAAAAATAATTACAGATAGTCTATCCTTACTATTCATAACCACTCAACACTTTAGACAAAGGAAGCTGGGTATTCTCCGCGCGAGCGGATGTGAGCAGACTGCTGAGCAGGGCCCAGCCGAGACCGCCCAGCAGGAAACCAGGAATGTCACCCCCCCCCAACCCCCGGGCTCTTCCAGCACTCCTGCAGGGCCCCTTCGAGCCCTTTTCCACCCCTGACCCAACCCGACAGCACCACTGCCCTCCCGCCCCAGCCACCCCGTGCCGTTCGGTGGCAGCTGGTGCCAACGTCACCCATCACCGTTCGGCTTCCCGCATGGCCGCACACCAGTCCTCTTTACACATCCACTGTGATTCTGCCTTCCATTGCATGCTTCGTAGCTCAAGGTCCTCGGCATGTTGCAATCCCATGGCTTCGTCTGCCTTTCAGTTTGAGGTTTTTGAGACACTTCGGCTTCCCAAGCACTGTGCGAAATCAGAGCCACCAAACCTGGGGCAAACTTCCCTGCTTCTCCTTTTGGATAAAGGCAAAACTGTAGAGAAGAGAATCCACAGACTTAAAGTAGCTTCCAGAGGGAAAGGTTGTACTGGGCTATGAAAACAGAAAAGAAACTCAAATTCAAGTCTCTCAGGGAACCTACTTACCTTACAAATAGCCATTTCAGCCTCCTCCCAAGTCGCTCCGTGTACTGAAAATGTTAACATCTCACGGATCATGAAAAGCAAATTCCATAATTCAAGGCAGATAGACGTCAGGACTCTATTTTTGCAGATCTACACAAAACCACGGTACCTTAGAATACCTGTCGTCAATTACTTTTGTTCTTTTCACTTGATGCAGATGAGTTATCATAAATCATATTCCAAACACATCCGTTTAGAGAAGCACAAAAGTCCTCCCTGTCTCTGTGTATGCAATGTCAGTGGAGCAAAGCAAAAGCGAGTGCACACCTGATGCATCCAGAGATGCTTCTTGCACTGCAGCTCTCTTTCAGGACTAGTAATAGTTCAAAAAAATCTTCCTTTTTATTGTATTGTATTGTATTGTATTGTATTGTATTTTTATTTATTTGTTGGTTTGTTTGTTTGTTTGGCCATTAAACAATGACGTGTCCTCAGCTGACAGGGTCATGTCTTCCAATTTCTAAACGTCCTCCATCTTCCTCTGCCCTGTTTTCAAAGTGAATTTGATATCCTCTTCTCTCCTTTCCACCGTGCTGGGTGTTGGCTCAGCTGGTCAGACTACCCCGGTTTGTTTTGGTAGCAGTGGTTGTGTTGGTTTTTTTTGGTTTGCTAGTGATTTTTTGTTGGTTTTTTGGGGGGTGAAACTTTGTTCTCTCGAATCTTGCTTGGTTATGCTTGCTCCCCTAGACCTTTTCTGTGGCTGAGACGTTCTGTGTGACACCACTGTAGTTCTCACCAAGGTCTCTCATTGGAATCACCAGGTAGGAGACGGCTACGTCTCTCCCACAGTGCTGAGACAGCACCATGATTCCAGCACTCAGTCCCTTGCAGAGAGCAACCAGGCAGCTCCACGAGAGCTGTTATACTCTGTTATACTCTGTTTTTACCGGTAACACCGGCCACAATGAAATGGTTCCATGTAAATATACTTGGAGGCACTCGTCCAGAAAAGCCCGTATACGCACAACCACCTTCAAATGTTTTGCTGAAGTGGGACAAGCTAAATTAGTGCCGAACTGTTTCACTGCCTGTTTCGGCCAGAAAAAGTACAAAGACTCTTAAGATTACATCATTCACCTGCTTATGTCTGCGCATGTTTATAAATATGCATATAGCAAATGCAGCATCAAATTACAGATTGCTCATCTCAACAGCACTTGCCTGAACAAAATGTCTGTTTTTCTGGTGCAGTCCAGCACATTTTCCAGAACTGTGCCTATTTGTTACTGCACGTCACTAGCAGTGCTCTCCAAAACATGCCAGTACTTCTGGCACAATGATTTGAGTTGCTAGGGTGCTTGCCTGCTTCTGCAAACTGGTCACTGGGCCCATACAGTCCAGTCTAAAGGAAGACAAAATGTTTTTATTATTTTTATCTTCTTATTTTGTTTTGTTTTTATGAGTATCTGACATTTTAATTGTAATGTTTACATTATTTTTTTTTTACAAGCATTACACCTCGTCTGCTGTGAGTGCCCACAGCTGTGTGATGGCTTAATTAGGGCCCAGGGAGGCACTGCTTCCTGCCCTGCAGAAGCCATGTTGCTGGCAGCTTGCTGCCAGTGAGCTGCCTCTGCCTACAGTTCCGTGGGGTATAGGGAGAACACTGCTGTGCCCGATGAGGTGAGGGTTTAGAGGCAGGCAGGAGCTGCTCCTTCACAGAGGCATAGGCTTGGTGCTTCCTGGCTTCAGTTTTACACTCTGTCTTTGCGGCTGTTTGTGTTGTTCTGCGTTCCTGGTGTTGTATGTCTTGTGTTATATCCAGGTTTTGTGATAAAGTAGGTGGTTTCTTTTTCTGGTGTGAAAGCAGAAAGTTTGCTTGCCTCCCCTGTTTGGTGTGGGTCCTACAAGTGCAAGCAGGGAAGGGGAAGCACCAGTTTGTGAGTGAACCACCCCCCCAGTTCTGGAGAGGACAAAAATGAGAAATTTAGTCTGTCTTCTCTCACTTAGTTGTTTTCACACTATGTTTCTGAAATGTGTCCAAGCATGAAGATTCTCCGAAGGAGAAGAGTTTTTGGCCTGAATTGTCTACGTCTACTTCAGAATGCCAAAACTCTACTGTTCAGAACATGCTTAAGGTCTACTCACAGTCTATGTGCAAATGAGCTTGTTTTCCTACCCCTACGTTATCATAATCTGTGTAGAACAGTAGTGGGTGAAAGAAGGTGGTATCACATTGCAGGATGCTAGCAGAAAGTATGTGCTTCTGAGAAGAACCTGTAGATTTGCCTAAATAACAGCAAAAAGCAGGTGTGTGCAGCGATAAGGATTGCAGCAAGAAAAACTGACTGAATCGGTTGACAGCTGCTAGTTATTTCCAGGAGCGAGTATTGCAAGAAAACACTGCTGACTGGGTGAGACAAAATGGCAAGCATTTCATTTCTGGCTCAGAAGTTAAGTCTTGTGTATCCCTGTTCTTAACTGAACTCATTTTTTCTGCTCTTTTTTTCTTCATCAGAACTGAATTGCATTGCAATTTCAGGCTGATTCGTTTCAACATCCCCATGCAGAAAGCTTTCAACAGAAGTGCCGTGGTTAGTGGCAGACAAGCAAGGTATACTCAGGGTCTAGGAAAGAGCCATTAAAAGACAGTTTTATGGTTGCGATGTTTTCCTGGCTCCAAGCTTTTGAGAGTTAGGGGTGTCTGCCATAGAGGTAGCAGGGCACTTCTCCTAAGTAGCTGAACTCAGTCACAACTGCTGAGCAGAGCTCGCTGGAGGTTTGTCATAGCAGGTTTGGCTGCGGGCAAGCCCGGCACCGCTGATTCTCATAAGGAACCAAGTAATGCCCAGCGATGCCTGGCCATCACTGAACTGCCACGGCTGTGCTGTAGGGTCACCTCTGCAGGGAGATGGCTCCTGCGTGCCCAGGGGCCGCCAAGCACAGCGGCTCTTGCTTCTGCCGGAGCTCTGCAGAGCCTGCTGTGACACCAGTAAGTAAAAGTTAATTGCAAAATTATTTCTGTGTGGTAATAAGCGAAAAAACACTTGGGGCCAGTTCTCTTTAAAGAAAAGGGGGGAAAGCCTGTTCTACACTCATTTGATTAACCCATGCTGTTAATCACTGCCGAGTTTATGAACCTCCATTATGGACTTGTTACTCTAAGGGGTTTCAGCTCAGTGATGGGAAAAACAGCTGTAGGGCCTGGGTAGGTAGGAGTAGCAAGAAGTGCAAGTAGAAGCGCCGAGCCTTTGAAGAGGTGTATAAATAATTAGCAACATATTTCATGTGGACTCGCTTGTCAAGATACACTGTCAGACCTGGGATTTTAGCCGAACGCGATGAAAATGCTGAAAGAGCTCTCTACTCGTTCTAACGTAACTCCTGAAACAATTTGTTATATGAGAAGCTATTGTAGGTCACAGACAACAGTGCGGCTCTGCTCGCACGCCCGGTGTGTTTTTCTCCAAAAGCATGCGCGTCTGAAAGACTCCTTACGCTCTCATGTCTTCTGGATTTTAGATCCATATTTTATGGTTGCAAACCATACAACACAGGTGAAAACATGAACTGCATCTTAATAAAGCGAAGCAATGAGTAAGTAGCGGTCTATGCTGCTTTGTAAGGTAGAGGGAAATCTAGGCAGGGAAAATTAAAAATAATAACTTAAAAAAACAAACAAAAAAAAAAAAAAAAAACAAACAAAAAAAACCCAAAGCTTGGACTTTTGGAAGACCCCAGTGAGAAGACGCAAGGGCATATCCCTGTAATCAGCTCCAAAGAAAGTGTTGAAGTTTGGTTTGTTAACAGGCACCTACTAAAATCTTCCTAACGTTGGCTTCCAGATATATTTTCTGTTATTAAAAATGCCTTGGTTACTGGGAACACAGCTGTTTTAAATCATGGCTTGGTTCAGCAGCATTCTGCTTGTTTTGTTCCTTGTTAATGCAGGGTGGCTGTTTGGTGTTTAGGGTGATCCTTACCGTCTTCCTTTTCTAAGCGTGAATCCTGATCTCTGAGCAAAAGCCTGATTTGCATCTGTTTTGAATGTCTTTGCTCATTCCCTGGCTGTGGAGGAGCCCAAGGGGTGTCAGCATCAGTTTCATCCAACGGCGCATTTTTGCCTGGACAGAAGGAACCATCAGTTGTTCGTTCAGTGGGGGTGCGTAACCGTGGGACATTCCGTCATTCAAACACAGAGGTTCCTCTGCAGAGATGTGTTGGGCTTTGCTACTTCCAGAGGTGTTAGTGGGATTTCCTCAAGGTCAGGACTTTGTGGTTTTTTTTTTTACCTGTGAACTTGAACAGAGCCTACACTTCACTCCTCACTTTTCCTACTGGGGCTTTGTGCTCAGATTCAGGGCTTGTAAGAACAGATCAAATTCAATGAGGGATCTTCACTTTGCCTAGCGTTTGGGCTGAGCAGTGATGATCCTGATGACCTCGCTGCAAGAAAACATGCCTGTGAACTTCTGAGGTACTGCCACGAGGCATTTTCTGCCCCCTCTTCTTGCACTAAGAATTGTAGGGACCTACAAAATAGGCATTAGTTATTTCTGAATAGCTCCCTTGCTCGCTTGAACTTGTTAAGAGGCTATTTCTTAGCTGCCTGTAAGTTGTATTTGTCCCCAAGCTGCCTGGTTCACAGTTTGTCGATGACATCTCCGTTTGTACTGCCCATGGCATCTGATTTTTTATTTCCATTGTGACGAGCAGGACAGGTATGCCTGGCAAGTGCATCACTCAGCTGCTACTTTTTAAGATGCAAAGCAGGGAAGCGAGTGAGCCTCCTAAGTGCCTTGCTTGTGGGAGGTCATCATTAGTCTGTCGAGGTATCTCTTTGTTGCTGCCTTCCATAAGTGTATTTGATATGGCAACTTCAAGTTGCGCTGTTCAGCGCCGACAAGATGCAGTGTTTATGAAAACAGGCTTCTTGAAGTGAGCTGTGGGAGAGAGGAGGAGAGGCTGTTTGCTGTGTTTTAAGCCAAACGGCTTCTTTGGCAGGAGGCCTCTGTAACAAGTGAGAACCATGAGAATTAGCTCTCTCAGCACTTTGACAAGCAAAGATCTTTGTCTGTAACGAGGAGAACGAGGCTCGTTTGACACAAACTACAAAACAGCTAAATGATGAAGAAGGAGGGCAGAAATATGCCACTGAAGGTGAGGAAAAACAAGTCCACCGCTCTGCCGTGGATTCAAACATCTTGCTCGCTTGCTCATTGTAACGTCTAATTATGACTGGCCTTGTTCCGGAAGAGGAGGAAAAGGTAAGTGGGCTAAATCTTGTGGCGCGACTGACCACGGCGTATCCCGCCTGTTTCTGTACAATCCGAACCGTCCCCATCTTATTCCTCTGTATCTAGCCATTCTTTATGCAGAAATGCAAATTCCCTTCGGACTCTGGAGATTTCCAGACTGATTAGAATTCGTACGTTCCTTCGTGAAGAGTAAAAATAGGATATCCCAAGATAGCCCCCAAATTATGAACCGACACGAGAAAATCAGAGTAGTTTGTGTGCTATTAGATGAATAGCTGCCTTCAGCAAGCTGCGCCAATGGTGGGGTTACCGTCTCATCTTAGTTGTTTATCTGAATTTTTAGCAGTTTAGTGACAAATTAACTAATGTCAAATTCTATTTACTCAAAGTAGGGTTTTCAGCCATATACCGTTTAAAAGGAGACCTTCGGTTTGTCTTCCAAACCTGGCGTGTCACTGGGCAGCAGAGAAGTAGAACGTGTGGCTATCCTGCCCTGCAGCCCTTCGGAGGACCAGAGTCCAAGCTCACTTAGGAACGTTGAAGTCTGGTCACCCGCACGTGTTTAGGCAGGTACACAGCTGTATGGCTGCTGTGGCACACCTTGGTTTTTAGAAGCAATGGTGCATCAAGAGATGGGGGAATAAGGGAGTATCGGTTAGGTTCAAGCTCGCGGTGGCTGCCTGTGGCCAAACGTTTCCTGTGAAATAAAGCTTATTCTTCTCTTTCCACTGTCTTCCGTTGGCCTCCGAATGAACCAGTCCAGGAGCCTTCTTACCTTGACCTCTGCTGACACCCCCTGCCGTTGGTACTTGTATAGCTTGTGACAGAAATCTGCTGTAATGGACTGGTCAGAGAGGGAAAGCGTAGAGGAAAAAGCGGAGGCCGTGGGTACCGTAGGTCTTGTTGATGTAGACTCCCAGTGTTCAAACGAAGCTATGTGCTGTTTATTACTTTTTCATTTGCATCGCAATTGTTTACTGCTACGGATGGCGCTTACCTGAGCATTAAAATGTTACCGATAACTGATTTTATGGGTCTCTGCATTTCCTGTGTCTTATTACAGCGGCGACTTTTTCTTGCCCGCTTTATCTTCAGCGCTGCGGTCTCCAATCACTTCTCCTTTTCTCATCTCACTTTAGTCCGTGAGTTACTGCTTGCAGAACGTGTATCACTAAGAAAATCTGGATGTCTAAAGATTTTTAAGAAACTAAATAACCCTTGCAAGAAAGAAAAGAGTATAGAAAGAATTATTTGCAACCATGGGTTTGTTGATTTTTAAATGAATATTTTTCATGTTGGCAATTTTCTTCATTAGAATCATGTGGGAAAAGGAAAAACGTGTTTAAAATCCAGCAAAATCCACCTCCTTTGATTTCATCTGAAGTTCTCAGGTTAGACTGATCTGTTATACAGCCATAAAACAAGGTTAATGTGGTTTTAATAGACACAAATCGAGATTAGGTCTGCACAGCATAAAATGAGAATTGTATTGAAGGAGAGATTGATGGGGCTACTCAGAGTTATGTCGGGAAAGGATAAAACACGAACGTCTTTTTCCTCTGGATGCACGCAGAAAAAAAGTTCAATAGATACATAGAAGGAAAATCAAGGATAGGATATGTTTACACAGAAAGACGAACGGCCTGTTTATTCAGCAGCTGCTTAACAAGCCACCAGCACAATCAATTAAATTAATCCCAAGAAGTAAAACTTGAAATGAAGATGATATCTAAAATCATTTTTATTCATGGTTAGAGACCGTGCAGATTCTTTTGACAAGTAGAAAAATCTTATGGGTGATGTTGAAAACTTCAATGTACAAGTGTTAATTCAATTTGAGGGGGAAAAAAAACCCTGACTTGATAGAATGGTTTCTGTAGAGATATTATGAGAATAGCAAACCCCCAAGCAGTACAAAGGCAGCAGGAGTATTGCCTGCTCATTACCTGAATTTTCAAACATTTAACAACTGTGGTAAGTATGAATATGCAAAGCTTCCAGGCTCTGACCAACATCGTTCTTCTTCACTCGAGGAACAGAACAGAAGCAGCCAGTGGGTTGCTGCCACGGCACGGTTTGTTTATCTGCTATTCATATGAGGCTGTCACACTCGATTTAAGGTCATAGGTCTTCCAAGTCAGGGTAAGCCACAGCACCTTAAAAATGCGTCCAAGCGTAGCGTGGAACTGAGGCATTAAATCACACTAAGGAGACTAAAGGGGTCAGGAAGACTCCCCTTGAAGGGTGAGGGTCCTAAGCTGCCGTCCTCCTCTGTAGGAGATATAAGACCTAGAAAGTAGAGCTCAATATCCTTCACGAAGGAACAGTTTGAATGCCAATTCTGCTCCTGCGCAGAAGGCTGCTCGATCTCTTTGAGGATTTGGGGGACGTGCTGCCATGGCGAGTCTGACGCCACTGACAGCAGCATGAATTTGCCTTGCGTTCTTTTCTGGGCTAGATCCTCCTATTCCTACTAGTACTCCATCGTGCCTGAACGTTTTGTGGCGTTGTTTTATCTTAGGTCAATATCAGCCAGCCATTTTAAGGAAGACTGATATATTGCCTGGTCTTTAACGGGAAGTGTGAAATAGCGGAGAACGTGCACCTGGGCTATGATGATCACTGGCATCTGGTCTTCTGCCTCCTTTTGCACGAGAGGCGCCAGCGGTTTATGACAAACAGAAGAAATCAGGTACGTGTCTGCACTTTATGTTGCTACGCATAGCGTTGTGTGCTTCGTCATCTAATCTTTAAGAAGATGGTGAAAGGTGCAAGAATCTATCTGTTACGAGTTAAAGCATTGCAAATAAACTGGGACGCCAAGCTGTGCAGGTTATAGCTAGCGGGGCAGTAGCAAATGTTTTCATTACGATTTCTCAAGAATGAGGATATCGTGTTTTAAAGATAAAAAGCGGGTTTGTGCTCAGTGCAGAGGAGTGCACCATCAACAACAAAAAAGCAGATTTCTATACTACACAGGCGTTAAATGACTTATATAGGAGATTTTCCTCTGCAGTACCTCCAGTGTCTCTCTTACTTTGGTGCTGTTTGCAAGAAACTTCTCAGATGCCTGTGTGACTCGGTTTGAGAAGCAGGCGAGTGATCTAGGTTATGCCAAATGCTTCGGGGTTCTAAGCAATGACTTGGCAACATCTGTATGTGCCCTGGTCCTGTAGGTGAAGGGCATGGGAGCACATCTGGCTGCCTTCTGTGTTGCTCGAGCGTTTGAGATTCCTTGCAAGGACTCGGCGGTCCTCGGCCAGGCGGCTGAGGCCTGTAGAAAGCGAAGCGTTCAGGGAGATGGAGCACCAGTGCGTGGTATTTTGGTGTGGGAATGGGACGTGTCAGCATCTGGGAGCAGAGCAGCGCTGTAGCCTTAGCACGAGCAGTTTCAGATTAGCACGTCATCGTGCAGTAAAGCTGAAGCGCGTGATATGTGCCTTTTATCGAGCTCAAGCTTTCATCATTAACAAAGCCGAAAACTTCCTGGTCTTTGAAACAATGAAATCTGTGGCAGGCGCATCTCGTGTGAAAGAGGAGGTGTGCGTGCAGAAGGCTCTGCAGTGCGTTCAGATACCACGCTCCAAGCACAGCCTGCTCTTAACTACAGAGGGCACTGCCAGATGCCGGCAGGGACTCCAGGCCTCAGCCGCCTGGCCAAGGACTGCCAAGCGCCTGGGTTCTGCGCGGTAATCGACTTGCTGCTTCTTTCTTGCGTTGCGCGTGTTTTCTAGTAATCCAAGGTTTTGTTTGGTGGTGGTTGTTTAAGATGATAAGGAAAGAAAGGGTTGTTAATATAAATGAAGGAAGCTATTGCTCTGGGCCATGCTGCGTCTAACTTGTGCAAAATGCTGCTACTCGGTGTTAACTCAGTAGCCTTTTCTTTGCTAAACAAGGCTGCTCTGTACTTAGGAATGCCGAGTACAAAATTAGAAACGCAGGCCAGTCTTCGGGAACATTTTACTTACTGTTTTAATAAACTTTTGTTTATGCCTAGAGGTGCCATTAAATTACCAGCCAGACATTAATATACCGTACACAAGGGATCCTGTATATAAGCGGTGATTATTACTGTGTGACTCAGATGAAGCTTGCTATATGCATAGATAGCTGCTGGATGGCAGATGAGAAGTGAATACCTGTCTGGATAAGTAAGCGCTGGTACTCACACAGCGGATGTGCTGCAATGCTTTTTTTTTTTTTTTTTTTCTTTCCCCCTTCCCCCCCCCTCCATTCTTACAAGAAGTCCCTTTGTCAGAGCAGAATCGTGGCATGAGGGGGTGGTGGTCGGCCACAGGAGGAACACTTTCACTTTATTTCATAAAGTAATGTAAGATGAGAATGAGGTGTTGATGAACTCGGGGCTAAATGTGCTAAGTGCTCCCAAGTGAGGTGTTACTCTTGACTTCTAGAACAGCGAGGTTCGTTACATCGTTGATCATCTGGCTCTGAGTACGCAGGGGTATAGGGACCGCTTAACGCCGGGCACAGCTTGCTCCGTGGCACCGCACCCACAACTACGACAAAGCCGAAGGAAGCTGAGGCCGCAGGAAAATTCTGGAGTAAATGGGGGTTGCGGGCACCAGACTGGAAAGCATCTGAATAGCAGAGCGGAGCGGCAAAACCAGGAAGGTGTGTTTTGCTTCAGGCTTAGCGCTTGCATTCTTGCACGTTCTTCCGAAGTCAGGTACAGGTTCCTCAAATTTGAGTTTGCAAGAACGGCGTGAGTTCATCTACACAGAAGGAATTTGATATCCCTCCTGCTCCTGGAGAAAGAAAAAAAAAAAAGTGCCAATTAATTCTGACTTGGGATTTGCCTTTACATTTGATCTACTTGAGAATTCACAAGGAAAGCTTCCTGTGAGGAAAGCTAAGAAACGCTCCCAGGGAAAAAGCACTGTTGTAACTCTCCCGCTTCCTAAAGGGATCAAGGCAGAACTCTTCTTAATGCACGTTCTATAAAAGAAACGGAGGGCCTACCTAATACAACCTCCTCAGGCTTCAATTTTTCGGCCCAGCCTACATAACAAGAGGATCCCTCCCCGCGTTGATCTGCTCTTCTCCTTTCTAATTTCTTTTATGTCTTTTATGACTTGCTTGCACTTAGAAAGAAGAGTCCCTTCCCGTGTTGCTACAGCACGAGGCTTTGGCATTTAAGCTGCTCGCGTGGTACAAAACCGGGGAGCTTGGATGAGAGGCATTGGAAGAGCAACTTGAAATTCCCCTCGGATGACTCGCGTGGCACAAGCTTCATAGATGGCCAGCAGCAGGGACGCTGCTCCGAAACCTTCGTGAAATCTGACCGCCACGTTGCAACACAGCAGGAATTAGAGATTTAAAAGGCTTTCCCTTCAGGTTGCGTCTTCGGTGTTCCCTAAAACTCTACCTCAACTTTACCTGAAGTCTCCACTTCCATCCCATCTCCCCTCCGTCTTCGTTTAAATCAGCAGCTTGGGCTGGACGCTGCTGGAATAATGACTGCACCCAAGACTTTCATCACACACTGCTGACTTTTCAATCCGGATCCGATTGCGGTTAAGAAGAAGAAGAGGCAGTCACGTTTTTCTTCCGTTTGACGACTGGGGGGGCATATCGTATTTGTTTCTGAGGTTTTGTTTTTCATTTATATAATTATTTGCCAGCAACACACCATCATGCCCTTTGTTTTGTTTCAGCTTGATTCCCTTGTCCTTATGCGATATTGTTATAGGCACAAAGCGTCCCAGTTTTTTAACGCTTCATCATTTATTAATGCCGCAGATTGTGGGATGAAGGGTTGTCAGCATTGTGGTTTTTTTGTTGTTGTTGTATTGGGGCATACAGTGTCTGCACAGAAGCTGGTTTGTTATTAAATAATTTGTAAAGAATCTCCTCCTTTCTGTTTATATTTTTTTCCTCATTAATTAGCGTATTAATTTCCCTTCCTGACTTCACTTGTTACTTGTTTTTTTTTCGACCTGCTCTTCTGTTTGAGATAAGTTTTCCGCTTAAGTCGGAAACTTTCAAGGGCGATGCAGGAGCGGACCTGATCCCCCTGGATCATCCCGGTCTGGTACATCCAGGCGGTCTCTCGTGTACGTCTATGACAGGGCTGGTGACGATGTCTGCTGGAAGCGGCAGAGGAGTTAGGGTTTTGATTCGATTCGGTGCGCTGCCAAGGGACAAACACCTGACAGCTTGTGCCCAGTTGTCCTCATGTGTACTGAAGTCTGAATTTTCAGTGGTATGAATCCGCTGGCCTCTCATGGACGCTCTACTGAAGCGAGGCCCTTTCTTTGCGCACGTACCGCAGTTGCTTGTTTGCAGGGCAAGCGCGTTTGGGTTTATGCTTGCACAGCTGACGGTGTGAAAAAGCCTTGCAGTCAGAGTTCTCCACCTTGGTATACGCACAAGTTTAGAAAAAAAGGAAGGAGTTTCTCAGCTGCACCGCCTCAGAGGAGCCCGGTGCCACAGGGATGAGAGGGAACAACGGCTCTCAGGAATGACGTGGCACACGTACAGATCTTCCCGTGGGGGTGCTTATCAGACTTTTTATTTTTTTCTTTTTCTCACAGTCCTTGTTGAATTTACTTTGGTGTAGGGAAATAGCTGCACGATCAGGGCGGATGACCACAAGCTCCCGTGTTTCCCGGCACTTGGAACAGCTCGCTTGATTAAGAGGAAGGCAGGTAAAACACTCTTTTGTTAATCTATACCTTCAAATCTATTATGAAGTTATTGGTTTCTGTCCTGCAGAGGGAAATTCACGCTGGTTGGCACGGAGTGAACGGTCAATCTGTAGTTTGCCAATGCGATTTGATGTTAAAAGTAGGTCAACAGAAGTGAATTTGCTAAGCACAAAGGATGTGGCTATACCTGCATTTTTTTATTATATATCACATTGGTCTTGAGACTTTATTTTCTCAAATATCCAAAACGGTTGTGATCAGAGCTCAGCACAGCCCTGCACTTGGCTCTTATCCGGGCCAATGGAGGGCTAGGCAGGGTACGGCAGCGACAAGCGCGGATCAAAGAAACATGAAGGAACAGGTGCCTTAGTCTGAAGTCAGACCGGTAGATCTGGGAAAAACTAAGGAGGCTCCGTGACATCTCCTCTCGGGGAAACTAGAGAATCTGTCCCATTAATCTGAACCATTTAACTCTTTGAACCTGTTAAAATCCGGAGGGATGGGCACAATCCAAAGTGGCTCCATCTGAAAGTTTCGAGCACGGGCTGGCCTACTTCGTGGACGAGCCCTCCTCATGGACATTCGTTCACCGAGAATAAGCCTTAAATTTCTAAAAGCCTCTTTTCAGCAACTGTAATTCAAACTGCTCCTCTAGCAGCTGTCCCACGCGTTTGCGGTTTCTCTGAGGGTTGCTCTTTCCAAACCTGACCTTTGTGACAAGTACTGCAGGCTGGGACGATCGCTCTCTCTTCCTGTCACTCGTATGCTCTGCCCACTCCGGGAGCAGCTAATTGCACTGTTACTGTAGTAAAAAGCTGGCATCTGCACACATGTGCACACACCCAGAAACAGATCATCTGCTTCTTTCCTAAGTAAAGATAGTAAAGGTTTTTATGCCGAAACTGGTCACGTTTCAGGAGGTTCCGTATTACTGCAATGCTAAAAAGTAACTTTGGCAAGTTCAAGGAGAAGAAGGTACAGAAGTGCTGCAGCGCTCAGTCTCAAGTGTCTTGTTTGGCAAGTGTAATGCAATTGTTGCTAACTGTGAAATAATACAGAGAAGCTATGTTTTCTTTTTTTTTTTCTTTTTTTTTTTTCATTTCTCAGGTTTCACACTAGCAATGAAAGTAAACTGAAAATTTTGTTCTGAACATTGCAGTTAAAGAAGCCGATGAGGGGTTTCAAACACAGCTTCGTCATGCCGTTTGATTTACTGCAGCAAGTATTTACGTTATCTATGCCAAACATCATCTGAATAGTGAACCCTAGACAAAAAGCGTTATACATGTATGGCTTCGGGAGGGAGGGAGGGCTGAGAAGTCATACAGTTGTAGAAATAAGGAGCTTTTATAGTCTCCTAGTTTTTATTTAGAAAAGCATGCCTATTTATGTGTTTAAGTCCCATTAAGCGCTGTTCTAAGTTGAACTTTCACGTCATTCTTACTGCAGCTTCGTGCTCACGGCAGTCCGTCCTGCACTGGCAACAGGTAGGCACTCACTGTGTATCATTTTCAGTAGCAGCAAGCAAAAGATTCCTTACCGATAAAAGCACAAGCACCCAGACCAGGACAGAGTAATCGTTGCGAGTTCCATTTCCACGAGAGAAAGCAGCTAATGGGATCAGCAGAGCCGTCTCTCGTGGCTGTTGTGAAAAGCTGAGGTGACGTGACTAAGTGCCTGTGAGAAATGTAAATGTGTCGTAAACTGTTTTCCGTACATTTTCACTTTTTCTCTTCAGCTTTCCTATTTATAATTAACATTTCTCTTTATCTTGTTCAGTCTGAATATCTTTGTTCTTTTCAAGTTGAATTATTTAATACTAACTCTCCCATTCGTTTAAGCGCCCTTTATCTCACGATCCCCTCTCCTTTATACTGAAATCTCTCCTGTCTAAATGCATAACACAACGACACCTTCTACTGAAGAACTTTTTAATTCCACCACGTTCCCTAAAATAAAATTGCGTAGTAATTAGGCAGCCAAGTACGTTGGGCAGAAAAGAGGCTGAGGACACATTAGAAACAGGCTGCACGCGGCACAAACGAAAGCCAACATCTCGACACGAGTTTGAAACTACACTGGGCTGATCCTTCCTAAGGTGAAGTCCGGAAAAGCGCAGCCCATTTCTGCAACTTGGGAAATGTGACAGCTGATCGCTGCTCACACACAGAGTCCTGCCGGTTTTAGCAGTTCATCCGTGAGCGAGGAAGATTTGGTGTCATACAGCGCTTTTATTTTTTATGCAAAAGGAAGCAGCGGGGCCTTCAGAGGCAAGACAGCATCTGGAAGCCCTGAGGTATGTTTGCATTCTGTTCATGAAATCTATCGATCAAAAATGGAAATTTTGTCCATTGAATTTGTCCTTTTATATTGTTGAAGTCACAGCAAAACGCATCCTGAAATTGTTTTTTATAGCTCAATGGGGAAGGCACTCATACAGGTGCCAGATGACAGTGGGACCCGACGGCGTCCCAGTGGTTAAGCAGGATAGGTACAGTATCTGTATGGGAACTTGATGAGGAAAGCGCCACGTTACACGATGTGTTTTTAGGTGGTAGACACTAAACAGATCCTCAGTACGGATGACAAATTGCTTATAAAAACAGCAACACTGTCTGGCAAACACACGTGAGTCCTGTCAGTTGCACATATGTCCGTGGCGGTTTCTTCCTTCCTGTTTGGTGGTGGTGGGTTAGGACAGGGCTTACAGAGCCTCACTATTAAAAGAGGTCACAATTTCCATTAAGTTAAATATATATATATATATATATATATATATATATATATGTGCCTATCAAGAAAACTGAAGAACAGCTTTTAATCCAAAACGTCTAAGCTACCTCTGTTAAAAAAAAATAATATGCAGCTTGTAATACCCGCAGAGGACCTTAAAGATTATAAAAGATGACGACCCTGCGAATCCATGAATTTTTCAGATCGGTTGGAGAAAGGTGATCATTACGAACCTCCGATCTCTTGGAAAAATTTCTAGGTAAAGAATGTGCTGAAAGCTATGGAGCAGCGCTAAATCTTTTTCTTCAGCAATTGTAAGCAAAACCGAACCTTTTCCCACGATTTCTGGTGGCTGTCAGCAGCCCGGTAGCTTTTTTATTCTTTACTGTTCTAACTCTGGACCTCAATGACGCAGTTCATTCTTTTCTAGGGAAGGAGCAATCTTTGCAGATGGAAGTGAGAAGAATCCGAGGTTCCACACTTTTACCAATTGGACAAGGCGTGAACCAAGAGCTAAGCTGGATCTAAAGGACGTTCTCCTTAGTGTGTGGAGATACACTTCAAAAAGAGAAAAAGTGAAGGATACCTTTTTAACTGGGATGCCAATCCTGAGGTAGGTAAAAATGATTGTTCAGAGTTCTCAGCAGCTTTAGCCCTCGTATTCAAGTCCTGGTTCCGACTAGTTTCAGCTACAAGTAGGAATCCAGCGTTTCATTCCGGAAAGAACCTCATGTCAACTTGGGAGGTAGGCAAGATCAGAAACTCGCAATTGGCATTTGTATACAAAGCGGGAAGCGGGATAAGGACCGTGCAAAAACCATGTAGAGAGACTTGCTATCTTTTCCAAAGCGTAGGATTTCATTGACAGTCTGAGAGCTTCCAGTGCCCACTCGCCCTGTACATCAGCCTGCAGCAAGCGGTGTTGCAGTGGCTTTACCCATTCCAAAACATGGCCGCTTCAAACTTTTTAGGCTCGATAGACAGTTACAATTCTTTCCTGAGTCACCCTGACGTTCTTTTGTGCCCCTTTGTGCCCCTTTGTGCCCCTTTGTGCCCCTTTGTGCCCCTTTGTGCCCCTTTGTGCCCCTTTGTGCCCCTTTGTGCCCCTTTGTGCCCCTTTGTGCCCCCTGGCTGTAGAGCTAAGGCCTTTGTGCAGCATATGGGCTGGGCAGGAAGAGCCACCTCACCTGAGACTGAGTGGCTGCACAAAGGTTTCATCCAATTTAAATAACACACCTTGGCTTTACAACTTAGCCAATTCACCTTATTCTTCTTGTGCAGCAGTTGAGTCCTAAGCTCATTGTAACCCCAGCTTTGTGTGGAAAAAACAGCCATTATGCATTTATTTCGTCCAAAAATCTGGCGTGGCTGCACGGTTGTTCTTTGAAATCCAAGTGTGTGTGTGTGTGTGTGTGTATGGAGACAGGGAGGTACGAACAAAATGCTTCGAAATGGCCTGATAGGACCGAGGTGCGCTTGAGGCGCCTGGAAACAAGGGAGCTGCGGCAGTGCCGGCGTGAGGATCCGCGATGATGGAATGTTTTATACGTTATCATTTTCTTGTTAATGTGATTTAGAGCGAAGGGTCAGGGTAGGGCAGAGCCCGGGCTAATGAATCCGTTAGGGACGCCGGACAAGAGAGGAACGGCACGTCAGAAGCGTAGGCTGAGCACTGGAATTGGATCGTTACCGTGCTGCGGTGTGAGGTCGAGGTACTCGGCTTTGAAATAAACCCGACGTTTTTCGCATCAGGAATTTCCTGAATAACCTGAGCCGGTTACTTTGGACTCGTGTATAACGCAGGGGGATAATGGGAGATGAACAAGCTGTCCGCGCGTTATTACGAGAGGCGTTTCCCCCCGGGAGACGGGGCAGGGGGCCGAGTGTCGGGGTAACGCAGCGACAGGCTCACAGGACGCACGTGGAGACGCGTGAGCTCCGGCGTGCGCGCTCGGGAGCACGGCGCCCACGCGACGCGACCACCCGCAGGCGCTGCGAAGCGGCCGGCACCGCGCCGCCAGCCGCGGCCCGACCCCGAAGGCGCCCAACGGCCGCGCCCGCCGCCTCGCGCCCGCCCTCCCGCGCGTCAGCGGCCGGGCGTCACGCGGCCGTTGTAATGTTCCGAAAGAGCGCGCACGGCCTCGCCCGCCGCCCCCAGCCTCCCGGCCTCGCGTCTGCGGGGACGCGCCACCCGCCCCTCGCCCTCGCGGACGCTCGCGGGGAGGGCTCCGCTCAGCCACGTCCGCTCTCTGCTCGCGGCGCCGCGCGGCGCGGCGGATCTACTCGGAGGTGCGTGGTAGCGATGGCGGCGGTGGGTGAGACTTTTCCTGTCGGCGGATCCGGCTGGCCCTGCCGGCGGGCGGGCGGCGGGTCGCACCCCGCCCCGGCGCTGCGCTGAGGCGCGCCGGCCGGGCCGCCGCACGGACGCCATGGGTCTCTTGGAGCGGCTGAGAAAGGAGTGGTTCATCGCGGGGATAGCGTTGGTCATCGCGGCCGCCAGGCTGGAGCCCGCCGTCGGCGTGAAAGGCGGTGAGTTCGCCCGCGGCCCCGGGTGGGGGTGCTGCCGGTGGGGCGGGGGAGGCCGGCTGCGTCCGCGGGCGGGAGGAGGCGGGCGGCCCCGGGGCGGGGGAACTCGGGCGGCGAGTTGGCGGAGGGGCCCGCTCGATTATACGTCCCGTTCCCCCAGCGGGTTTGCAAAGCCTGTAGGAAAGTAGAATATTTCGTCGGGATTCCGGCAGCAGTTCCGCGTGGCGAGAGTCTAGCTCTGCTTGGATTCTATTTTTCCTAAGTAGATCTGAAGTTTGAAGACGCACGGCTTTCTCACTGAGGAGCCGGCGCGGTGATTGGAAGCGATTTAAAAAGGGCTCCGAGCTGTTGCCGTGCCGGCCGAAGCTCCGGCAATGCGCGGAGTTGAGCGCGGGCACTGCCTGCTGTGCACGGAGCCTTCCCGCCGTCGGCTGCTGTTCTGCGCAGCTGGCCGGGGCCCACGTGGAGCTTCTGGCAGGATCCGCGCTGTGTCCTCAGCCGGTATTAAAGACAAATTGGGATTTGTAGCGTCAGGTGGTTCGTGCCTTTCTGGTGTGGCTGTCACACTGCTTCCTCGCAGCCACGCGGGCGAGCCTTTAAACTAGAACGCGAGGTGATTTTTCCTCCGTTTACTTCCCGTATTTTCGGCCGGAGGACTTCAGTGTCCTTTTTTTCTACTGTAAAAACATTCGCAAGGTATCGCTTCTGGGACAAATAGCTTTAAAAATAAAACTTTTAAGCATTAGTAGAAACCATCAGACCTGTTCTCAGTAGCAGTATATATACATTTTCTAAAGCCTGGGTGTCTCAGTGGTCATTTCAAAACCTGGAGAAAAAAAAAAGCGGTGCAAAATATCAGCGTGTGGAAAAAAAAAACTTTGTTTAGCATCTTTCAGGTGACAAAACCGTGCTCTGCCTGACTCAGTAATACGGGCGATCCGGCACGCGTGCCAGTGGGACGTTGTTCTCACCTTCAGGGCATAAAGCGAGCCCTTTTCACTACGATTTCCTACTGAGTGAATGTGCTTGTTTATTTTATTTTATTTTATTTTTTTTTTCCACGAAAAGGGCTTTTCCGATCAGTGTACCGCATGCAAGATAAAGAGGAGCTGTTCTGATCAGTTAGCTGTGCTGTGGGATGGCTGTGCTGTGCTGCGTGTTGTCTAGGGGTACAAACTGCTCCTGTGTAATGGCATGCGTGTAGTGCCATGAAAAGTCCCACGAAAGAAAAACTGGGTCCTGGAGCAATTTTTCTCTTAGCCAGAGCAGCTGTCTGTCTGTCTGCCCGGTGTGTATGCGTACACATGTATTGTACTCTAGCCTTTTACAGGGTTAGAGCATTTATATCGTTGTGCGTAAGGGTATAAATGATATCTACGGTCATGTGGAAATATATATATATGTATATTTTTTTTTTCTGGCTATTCAGTTATCTTGCCTTAATTTTGTCACTAGCCACGTGCTTAGCTGCGTCTTTAGCTTTTGCATTTCCCAGCTCATTTTTACGTTGCACTTAATATAGGTGTTTTAATTTTTAGTGTCGATTATTTTTAAATGTAACACACATACTTCAAGTGTCTCTTCCACAGAGGTCCGTCCGAGAGCAGGATTTGGGTTTTAATGACTTGAGATGCACACGTGAGTCGGCTCAGCGTTCCATCAGAACCCTCTATTTGGAGGGCTGCTGACGTCGCTCACGTCAATGGATCATTCATGCAAGAGAGCAGAAAAGATCTTATTTGGTGCGTGGAGTCAAGGCTTGCTTGTTTGCCGCTGCGGTTTTGCTCACGATGACTTACCGTCTCGTGCAGAGTTAGGACGTGAGTTCGGTCTTTAGTAGACTGCTCGTATCTTATTTGTATTGAAACGTCCGCACGAATGCTTGTGGAAAAAGAGCGTATGCTTTTTGCTCTCGGTGGCATCCAAAGGCAAAGGGTATTTTAAGGTAATTCATCATTTTTATGGGAGCGCAAAAAGTATTTTTATTTCCCAGGAAAAGAATTGTATATATATACATATGCAAAAGTCGCAGAGCCCTCAGAGGCGTAGGCACCTGTCCTGGCTGATCTCACTGCAGCGGCGTGTCTGAAATAGTTTTTTTTTCCACTTGTTGCGAGGGAGTCACGTGGAATTGCTTTGCCCCAAGGAGCTCATCGCCGGTCAGGCTCGGTTTCCTTCGCGCAGACCGCTGCCCAGATGCGTGTGTCACGGGAGAAGAAGCGAAAGGCAGATTTGCGAACGATACGTTCCTGCGGGGGAGGCAGCTGATGTTTGCATTTGAGTGCAACGTGTATATTTTGTGATGCTATGGGTGAGGTCCGACGAGAAAGACAAAGCGTGAAAACTGCCCCCTTCTTTTCCACATTTTCCGAGTTTGCCCATTAGTTCCCAGGGGCCTGCGATCGAGGAAGCCAAATGCGTGTGACATCGTACCTCGCTTTTCACTCACTGATCGAACAGCACCCTTTCTATAACTTAAGAGAAACATCGCTCTTACGACAAAGAAACTTACGACATTGTTTTGCAGATATTTTTCTAAAGATTCTTGTTTACATTGACGTACTTATATGCGTCTCGTTGTCTTTTTGACCGCGGTTCACTCTGTTCTCTCTCTGTATTTTTTAGGACCCTTGAAACCCGAAATTACCGTTACTTACATTGCTGTTTCAGCTATATTCTTTAACAGCGGACTCTCATTAAAAACAGAGGTATTGTAATTTCTCATTGCTTCATCTTTGTTTCGCTTTCAAAGTTCCGTGTTGCTTTTGCTCATGTTTGAACGTAATTGAAACGCTTAATTACTTTCTGTGCTGTTTTTGTCAATGCTGTGTGAAGGGCCAACCAGAGGAGATCAAAATTAGACCTTTCTAAAACGATTCCTGGATTTTGGAAGAGTCTTCACACGGTAGTGAGCATGAGTGAACTCCATCCATCCGTAGAGGCTTGGCTTAATTTTGCAGAGCTTTGACTAAATCGAAGCGCTGAGAGATTTTGAGTGCAGAAGACCGGACCTGCATCCCGCGCACGTGTCAACTCATATCGGGGCGAGACCCGGAGGCACACCGACATCAGGCTTTTCGGTCTCACTCTGCATCTGTTTTCTCATCGCTCAGTTTAGATACGACCCAGAGAACGATGTGAATGCCGGAGTAGATTTATAGGGATCGGGGTAGAGAGGGCCTTTGCGAAGTCTCCGTGCCTCTAGATGTGAAGAAGAGGTATGAGCTCTCTGCCTTTCTTGTCCACCTCATCTGTCAGCGCGTTCTCAGAGTCGGACCGGAGGTGGCTAGTTACTACGGGATTGACGCAAGCGAGGATACAGGGGCTGTAGGCTACCCCCGCCGTGTAACAACAGGGCGACGGCTGGTATCGATAGCAAGTGCTCCTCTGCAGATGCGAGGCTGGCGTACGGGTTCGAGGCCTCGGCAACGTTTTCCTTTGGGGTTTATCTCTGGACAGGGAACCTTGAAATGCCCGGGCTCTGCCGTGTATCACGAGCACTGAGACTCGTTTCAATATTTATGTTGCTCATTTTTCAAAAGGAAGATGGAGGGGAAAACCTCTTAGTGACGTGTAAAGGGGGGAAGGAGGAGGGAAACGACGGCTGCGCGCCAAGAAGAGGAGTAAGCAGGGCTGAACGGCAGCGGCACGTTTCTGTTAGTGCGGTTTCCCGGTTCCTTTCACTGCTTTGGCTGTGCTGATGTAATTGGTGATGCCGTTCAGATGTTGCGTGATATCAGTGAGTCCGGAAACGTGGCTGTACCGTCTGCTGTTGCGTTGTTTTCTGGGCAACGTGGGGTTTGGTCGAACGGCATACGTAAAGCAGGAAAAATACGTATCTGTCCCTATTTCATGCTTACAATGAAAAGATTTTGCGTTCGGCCTGGATACAGCAGAAGTGAAGCAAATAACTTTAGTCCATTCTGTAGCGGCTGTTTAGAGCCTTTTAGTCTTACGTGGAAGCAGACAGAGCCACGTGATCTATTTGCCCGGAACAGTAATTCATCCTAATGTAAACATACTGCAGAGAGGTACTTTCTGTCGCAGACAAGACCGAAAGGTACAGAAGCTCAGTGAATTGTTTTGCTTCCGGGCTTAGGAATCCTTGCATGCAGAAGAAAAAAAGAAACAAGCAAACGTGAAACTTATTTCTGTTTCAGTAACTTGAATGCTTGGATTCTTTCTCTCTGTGAAGCAGCTATTTGGGAAGTTGTATTTGCGAATAGGAGCGGGATCGATAGCATAGGCAGCCTCGGTTCGATTCAGCGTGCTGCTATACTTCACAAAGTTTCTCCAGGTACGTGATGTGAACTGGCGGGTCCCTTGGCGACGTATCACGACCCACTCTGCACTTGCGTTACTTTCTTCAGTCCGTGGTTGTCGGACTAATACGTCGATGGCAGCGAAGCTGGTGCTTACGTCCAGGTAGCGCATCCCCAATCAGTTGTTTTAGAGCCATCAGTTAGGGGTGGTCCTCAACCAGCGTCCCGCTGCGTTCCAGTCTCAATACTGTCTCGCACCGCATTCCTGACCCTAAGCCTGCTTGAGTTTCTGTCACGGAGGTAGAAGAAAAAGAGGAAGAAAACCGGTTTGCTCGCTTTACCTTTTGCTACTGAGGCCAAATCATTGCATTTCTAAAATACTTTGGGGCATGTGTTAAGCTTTAATGGCGTGTCCGAAAGTTAGTACTAGTCTGTTAATGTGCCTTTGCGTTGGGCAAAGAAGCTGGTTTTGTTTCCGTCCCGTTTAACCGTTCGCCTTGTACTCTGGCTGTTTCTCCTCAGATAGTACGTCAGTGAGAACGAAACAGCATTCCGTGTGCATTCTGAAATGATGTAGAGCTGTGCGTGTTTTAACTGAGGCCTCCTGATAAATCTAAAGGAATTAGTACTAACCGACACTCTTCTAAGGTTGCATTTCTGGTTTTATCTGCTGTTAAGGTTAAAGTAGCAATTATAATGTAATTGTTAGCTCGGATTCAGAAAGCAGTTTAGAAAGTAATTGCCAGCGGCAGAGAGAGCCTGTTTGTGCATGGCCTCGTTACTTTTTCAAATGCGGAGGTGTTCTGTCAGGTGTACGGATGTACTTTCCGTCCACCAGTGACAAAAACACCTTCCTCTAACGCCGTTTCACTTTTCAGCGACTGGATAGTTAGTGCTTGAGAGTGCCTCCCGTGGGGCCCCACACGTTACATCGCATACTCGAGTTATCCGTTACAACGAGGAGCTTGAAAGGCCACTGGAAACAGCATTCGCTTTGATCGCTCGCCCGGAAGAGTTCGCCCAGAGCGCTTTAGCGTGACTAGGTGGCAACGGGCACCGACCGGAGGAAAGCCTGGGGAAGCTCTCTGAAGGTCGCAACTAGTGGGAAAGGAACTTCTTCCTGTCGTTCAAGAACGGAGCCATCACTGACAGCTCCTCGTGCCACGGCGGAGATTTCTGCTTTTCTGAGAGACGACGAGTGCAGCGACGGAGGTATTTGGGACAAGCCCTTATAGATTAAGAGGAGGAAGGGTGCTTGTTCTATGGCGCTGCGATCCGAGGATCAAATGAGACTACTAGAGACGTTTTGATCGCATTTGGATTCCCAAGCGCCTGTTCTGCCAGCACAGCATTTCTTCAGGTAGTAGGCTGGCTGCATTGCAGTTGCCTTTCTCGTTTTGTCTTAGCCTTTGCTTTGGAAAGCCTCGCACGATTTTCTGCAGATCTGGTGTTCTTAAGGCATTTTTCAGTTGTAAGAGTAGTAAGAAGGGAAAGGCAGCAGCACTTGTGCAGCGGTGAAAGAGCGGAGTATTTTGCATGATGCCTCGGGTTCCGGCGTTGCAGTTCTGCGCCTGTGACGTGACTGTGCTGCGTTTACCAGCAGAGATTCATGCGCTAGGAAGTTGGGGGCTGGCAGCGTCGTGGCAGGAAAGGGGGAGAAATAAGCACCTTTGCTGAAATAAGACACCGGATTTTATTTTTCTCCACGGTATTATTTACACTTGAAGATGCACTTTAGTGTTGACATTTCTAGGTATCTTTTCATCTCGCGTAAGGGAGAAAAGTAGATGTTTGATTTTTGCTTTCTTGTTGAGAAAAGATGAACTGGAGCTACAGTGAAGCCGTCTGTAGTACAGTAAGCGCTGCGATGGCTGAGGGAAGAAGGCCCAGTGTCTTCTCTCGGAGCGATACTGCCCGAGAGCTTTATTAATTATAGAAAAGCAGTAGTTGTGTCACTCACTGAACCAAGCGCCAAATGCAGTCATTTGTCAGTGCTAAAACTGCATCAAGACGTGCATTTTGAGTCGGTACCGGATATAACTTCGGGGTCTGAACAGACGTGCAGTTTGTAGCAGGAGGTTGTTTTCTCTCACATCCAAATTTGGAAGAGTAGTGGATTTATTTTAAAAAGGTAGAAGGAAACGGTGAGAAGGATGCGGCGTGAAGTGCCGATACTTCCAGATGTGTAATGACATCAGTACGCAGGTTTCGGATCCCAAAGCTTGTTTGCCTGTTACCAAAATTCATCTGTCCGGAAGCTGAGAGGTGGCACGTGCATATCAGTTGCTGTATTACCCTGCAACCTTTTGTTTATTTATCAGTGCATCTCGACTATCAGACCGCAAGGTAGACGGAGAATCCTAGAAAATAAGGTTTTGAATAGAAACGCTTTCGGTTCTTTAGAGTTGCATCGCTTAATGAAAGGTACGAGGTAGCTTAAGGCAGAAGAAAAGCAATTTTTCTTCTAGTACTACGAGAGTTGAAACGGGGAAGATTTTTCCCTAGGAAAACTATATAGAAGGCTCCCGGGCTGTCCCAGAAGACAGTAACAGAGACGTCACCGACAGAAGAGCCTATCGTGCAAGGGTCCTTGATCTTCTCTCCGGAGCGCTCTTCGTGCTAAGAACGACGCCGCGTAACGGCCCAAATGTATTTATTTTGTCTGTCTTGTCATGCCTTTTGCAGCTTTTCTTTTTGTCTTCGCTGTTGTCAACGTTTTACGGTCTTGGTATTCTCTTTGCTTTTCTTCCTCAGCCTAATTCCGCTTGCGCGTTTCCTACCTACGATCTACCAGATCATCCGAATATGCCACGGAACAATCATTTGCCGTTTACGTTTGTTTGCTTTTCCTTTGAAAGCCTTCCCCCACGTACGAATGATGAATCCTTTTAATGTCACGATCCCTTTCTCCGGGGCTCTCTTTAGGCCAGGGAAGCTCGAAATCACTCAGCGCTGCAAGGTCCCCTTTCCTCTCGAGGTCTGCAGTCAATGACGCAAACAGGCCATCGGTGTAGTTAACGTGGGTTTTTGAAGCCCGGCGCTAAGGGCCTGCTGTAAAAGCTGCGGTTACGAGCTACGCTGTTACCGAAGTGCTGGACGGTTCTTCCGGAGAAACGCCCAGCAGCAGACAGAGCTTTTATGTTGTCTGGGTGCAGTTTGTTGTTAAAGTGGCGATGGGATGATCCCTAAAGGAGCCTTTTTGACATGCGCTGCCTTTGTGTTCTAAAGATCTCGCTAGTTTTAAAAGCATGAATGTGGTTTTACTTCGGCTGTTGTGACTGCAACTTGCTCTCTTCTTTTTCTTTTGCAGGAGCTGACAAGTGCTTTGATGCACGTGAAACTCCACCTTTTTGTCCAGATTTTTACACTTGTGTTCTTCCCAACAGCAATATGGCTCTTTCTTCAGCTATTATCAATCACACCTATAAATGAATGGCTTTTAAAAGGGTATGTTTAAGCATAATAGAGCGAAATATATTCTTAGCTCTCTTCTTCAAAGGCTGCTTATCCTGCAGGGAGCGTTTGAAGAAATTCTGTGAGCCGATCACGCCGTTCGTTCTGTGCTTCAGCGCTTTCCTCTTGAAAACGGAGCGTGCAGAAGACTGCCCTTTCAGGAACCAGGACTCATTTTTAGAATTTGTGCGTAGGGACCTTGCACCGAGTTAGGTCGTCACAAAACACGTTTGAAGCGCTGTACCGGGTCTCAAGAAAGACCAGGAGAGAAAGAGAGGAAAAAAAGCTGATGAAAAATAGGTGTTCTGTGGTGTTTCTACATAGTCTGCGTCGAGCAGCTCTCGTACCCGGGCCGATTTTGGGCTCGTTAACAGCCTACAGCCTCGTAACAGGGGAAGACAGATGGAATCCAGTAGCTGTAGGAGACGCTACTTTGGCGTGTAAACCACGTGCGCTGAGGAGGCCAAATCTGAGAGCAATTGTTTTTCGAGTTAGTACCAGCCTGCTTAACAGCATTACTGCATTAGGGTTATAACAAGGTAGCGCATTAAAGATCCTTTTCTTTCGGTAACTAAAGATTATTGTTTAAAGAACAATCGTGGATCTTGCTCAGGTAGAATGAAGGCAGGAATTTGCAGAGCACCGGCTTCAATTGCCGAAGTGTGAGCTACCAGAAGTTCTCGTGCTTTTTCTTCTGCGCGCTCCTTCTTATTCTGTCTGTCCTGTATCTCTTTCCTCACTTTTGTTTCTAATGTTTTAGGGATGCGTTCTTTCACGTGCGCGACTATGTCCGTACGGGGATAGACGGGCGCTTGTGAAATTCCATGTAGCATTATCTTGGTCCTAACAGTGCACAGCTGCAGTTTTTACTCCCTACAAATATTGCAGAGTCCAAACAAAGACAGGCATTTTGGCAAAGGTACGTCCTCACCGCATACGCGTATCGCATTCCGTAGCGGGTAGCGGCCGATCGTCTCCCAGAGGCCTGGAAAATCAGACGTACGCTCCTTAAGGCGTTCAGCTCCCTTTTGGCAGGCCGGCGCAGTCAAGGCCGCAGCTACTTTGTTCCCTGTCCGAATTCAGCGCGTACGGTAGATTCTTTCATCCTTCCCGGCAGTCTGTTTGCAGTGCTTGTTGAGAGGCCACTTTGGAGTTAACAGCTTTTCTTCTCTGTTTCTACTGTTCTTTTTCCTTTTCTCTACACGTGGGGTGATATTAGAAGGTCAGTTCTGCGGTTACCTTTAAAAATATTCAAAAGAATAGGAACCGACATCGCTGCGCACATCTTTGCCGTTCACTTTGTAAACAGTCTGGATTTTGCATCGACAGGATCTCTTTGGAAAAAAATGCGATGCAGCTTATTAACGGTCGCGCAGGTTCACCTCTCGTCGTCGTTCTTAGCGTATAGCACTTAAGGCAGGAGACGCAAGAATCTCATACGGGATTCAATTTGGTAGGCGCACATCTGAAATAGGGGAACTTGGAGTTCACCACTCAGTTGTCTGCCCAGCGTGGAGAGCTGGGCAGGAAAAAACCAGATGAAGTTTAACAGAAGCAAGCGTAGAGTCTTGCATCCGGGGAGGAATAATTCCAGGCACCAGTACAGGCTGGGGGATGACCTGCCGGAGGGGAGCCCTGCGGCAAGGGACCTGGGCGTCCTGGCGGACGACAGGTCGGCCACGAGCCAGCAGTGCGCCCTCGTGGCCGAAAAGGCCAATGGCTTACTGGGGTGCATTATAAGGAGCGTGTCCAGCAGGTCGAAGGAGGTGATCTTCCCCCTCTACTCTGCCCTGGTAAGACCTCATCTGGAGCACTGCGTCCAGTTCTGGGCACCCCAGTACAAAAAAGACAAGGATCTCTCGGTAAGAGTCCAGCGGAGGGCCACGAAGATGGTGAAGGGCCTGGAGCATCTCTGCTACGAGGAAAGGCTGAGCAAACCGGGTCTGTTCAGCCTTGAGAAAAGGAGACCGAGAGGAGACCTGATCCAGGTCTATAAATATCTAAGGTGCGGGGGGCAGAATGGCGAAGCCAGACTGTTTTCAGCGGTGAGTGGAGACAGGACAAGGAGAAACGGCAGGAAACTGCAGCATAGGAAGTGCCGCACAAACGCGCGCAAGAACTTCTTTGCAGCGAGGTGACGGAGCACTGGAACAGGCTGCCCGGGGAGGTGGTGGAGTCTCCTTCTCTGGAGATGTTCAAGACCTGTCTGGATGCCTACCCGTGAGTCCTGCTGCAGGGAACCTGCTTTGGCAGGGGGGTTGGACTCGATGATCTCCGGAGGTCCCTTCCAACCCCTACAATTCTGTGATTCTGTGATTCGGTGACTCTGCGATTCTGTAAAAGTTATTTTTTATGACCCTTTAACAAGGGCTTACGCCCCTGATGTTAGAGCTTGCAACATTTCCTCACGGAGTGGCCATTAGCAGCGTTTATGTGTTGCTGGCATTGCATTTAGTTGTTGTAAAGCAAGGAAAAAAAACAGTCAGGCTATTTGCACATTTATTTTATGCGTGCAATTAAAAACATTGCCATTTACTGGGCTGCTGGACCAAATTTTTTTTTTTTTTTTTTTTTTTTTTTTTTTTTTTTTTTTAAAACACATTTGGAATCATAGCTTGCTGATGCTGGTTTTTTGGTGTTTTTTTTTTGTTTTGTTTTTTTTTTTTTTAATAAATGTCTTAATGCATTTTTTCTAGCGTGAGAGCATTTACAGCTGTTTGCGCTATTCAAACTTTCTCCTCTTTCAGTGTGGAAAATTCCCATCAGCTGACTCGAATACACTTGCACCCCTTTCATATCTCTCTGAGTAACTTTGAACTTTATCTGTCCTTATTAGCGCAGGTGAAAAGTTCAAGGAGCCGACTGCCAAATGACCACATAGAAGAGAGATTTTGTTATCGCAGGCAGTATAAGGGGTGGCTGCAGGAATCGCCATTTGCCTAGTTATACTCGGAGAGACACATTAAACTTCGCAGACCATTTTTTTTTCCCGTGTTTCTCTCCCGTGCAGTGGGAAGTTACCCCGCCTAAGCATTGACCACTCCCTGTTTCTTTAGGCTTCACGCAAAGCTCAACGTGCCAAGTATTACCGAGGCGATGCTAGGTGCTTCATGGCATCGGATGCACGTAACGGTTACACCGTTGCCTTTCTTTTCCACAGTGTCTAACTGAGCAACCGAACCCTTTCGTGGTCATTTACTTCTTTCTTCTATGTAAGCTGTTCGTGTATTCACAGCATATGCATTGCCCCGTCAGTCGTTCTTTGTTTCTCCCTGGATTTAACACTTGTGTTTGCCATTGTTTTTGGACTCTTAGTTTTTTAAACATGAGCTAGCGCGCACGTACAGAGCAGTCATGTGGGTGAAAGTAGGAATACGGGAAGTCTAAATGTCTTTATTTGCTTATTTCTTCTTTTTGTAGTAGCTGATGGAAAACAAGGTGCCAGGAACCTAGAAAGGCACAGTTCTTCGCACCTCTCTTAGCAGTCAGCGTTTGCATTGGCGAGCTGTGTTTCTAAAGAAATGCAGCATTGTCATCATTTCTTTCATTTTTTTTTTTATTATTATTTTTTTATTTTTCCAACGCCCACGTGTCAGGATGCTATCGAGCTATGTCCATCAGGACTCACAATGTAATAATTGTCTTTGAGTCAGGCGCGTAGCTATCTTGGTTAATGCTAGATACTGTGTTGCAGATGGGGAAACAGAGTCACAGACAACTTAAAGTTTTTGGTAAACAGCTACTATTCAATGTGACTATTCAACAGTGACTATTCAATGCGGTGTTCGCAGAACCACGGAGCGTCAGGGTCTCGAAGAAACAGCGCGGACATTCCGGTGGCTCGTACAGGGCAGTAACCGCAATGCAAACCGGCCGTCTATGTATTACTCGAAGTTTGCATAGTATTTTAGCAGCGGCGATGCTATAGTGCAGGGGAAAACCTTGCAATGAAAGCAGCGTAGCGACATCCTAGGCAGCAACAGGTGAGGACACGTTCAAGTGCAGCAGCCGCAGAAATAAAGGGAACAGTCAACTTAGCTGCATAACTCCTCACATACACAGGGGCCTGCAGTGAGATACCCTCGGTTCTGCCGCCTGCCCTCACGCGAGGTCTGGGAGGGGGCGGATCCAGGTTTCACCCCTTCCACTCAGTCAGGTACGTCGCACGCACCTGAGCTCCCCCGTGTCTGCCCTGCCTTCACACCAGACGCTCCGTCACCGGTTCAGGCCGTGACTTGCATTTTTGCTGCACCGCACCCCTTCGCGGCACGAAGCAGCGATTGAGTGCAGTACCGGTAAGCCCTTTGCATTTCAGCAATCCACGAGTTCGGCAGCCGCGTATAGGCCCGTCGTCACACGTAACGTGCTGCGGGCAGGGCGCCACTCCTTAGGGAACAAGTCTGCTGGTGCGTATTGGACTTCCCCTGTGAATCATACAGTAAGTCACAAAAAAAAAAAAAACAAACAAAAAAAAACCAGGATCCGAGGCTTCCAAATCCTCCAGTTGAATTTCAATCTGCTCGACTTTCTTCTTATTCTCGATTGAACCGAGATCTGTGGATTCCCTGGATCTAACTCTTGTTTCCCTTCTAATGATATCTTCTTCATTATCTTAATTTTGGAGAGAAAGTGCCATTTGAGGATAAGGCAGTTTCCCCCATCAGAGACATAGTTTCATTTTCCAGTTGTCTGTTATGAGCCATGGCAAATCTGATTTACATCTTTTTGGAAGCAGTAGTACACATTAAAAGTTGGTGGTGGCTGCTACGCTACAGCAGGCGTTGTTGTTACTCTTTTCTCAGCTGTCAAAAATGTTCGATTTCAATTATGCAAGTAGTCAGCCTTTGTCGAGGGGCTTCTAATAACGGAATCATTGTTTCTTCCAGGTTCCTCTTTTTCAATCTTTTTGCGTAGCTCATAACCACGAGGAGCCCCGTAATCATCGAACACACCAGCTTTCTAAGAAAATCCTTCTTAAACAAGTGTATTGCTGCCCCACCCACCTAGCTTACCTAACATTATGCCGTCAATACACCGTACGCTTTTCAAAGCACAGCAATAACGGGAGCGTAGCAAACTCCTAGGCCGGAGCACAAAAGAACTCATTCAAACACAATAACCATAGATATAGAAAGAGGAAATCCACTTACCTCGCAAAGATCTCAGGCACGTAGAGGTCTTGAGAGAAATGCTCTCGCCTCCCCTGCTGCCCCTTTTTATGCGATGTGGGAAGGGGTGGGTTCTGGCTCCGCCCCTTCCGATCACTTAAATACATCGCATGCAGCTGAGCTCCTGTAGGTCAGCCTTGCCTTTCCAGCAGGTACTCAGTCTCTGTTTGCGACTTTGTGTTTCTGCTTGTCTTGTAAGGAATATAATATATTTTTTTTTCTTGTTTTCAGGTTGCAGACAGTAGGCTGTATGCCACCTCCTGTGTCATCCGCAGTCATTTTAACCAAAGCTGTCGGTGGAAATGAGGTGAGCGTTTTCTGTTTTCATTTCTGAAATGTTTTCTTTCTCCAAATAAGAAAACACCGGCGAAGCACAGAAGTTCAAGGAAGTGTTTTTTTCCAATGAAATTGCGGGGCAGAAAGCCGAACGTAAAACCTCTGAAAATGAAGCTCGGGTATCGTTTCACGTTTGTGTCACACAAGCGATTCGTTGTGAAAAACTCAGCTAGCTGAGATGACCGAAAGGGTTTCGTTAGCTTTTACAACCGATTGGAGTCTTCGTGCTTGTTACCGCACTCTATTTCCTACTCGTCTAATAATTCAGTGCTATGTATCGGTTCTTTCACGGACTGTGAATTTAGTGGGTAAGAGCTACCCTCGTGGGGGTTGTCTGAACGGTGGTTCCGATTCAGGGGTCCTATCGCAAAAGTTTCTCGAGGCACAAATGTAGCATGATGAGAGACACCTGAAGTTAATGAGGTCTTAACACGTTGTTAGAGAGCGTGATAATAAAGCTTGGGAACTGTGAGTTTTGGTCAGTGTTGTAGGACAGAGACGTCAGCGGGACGGAAACGCCGATATCGTGGTTGTCTGTGCAAAGCTTTGTCTTACTCTACAGCACGCCATTCTGAGGAGCACCAGGCGGTTAAGGTGTAGGAAACAACCACAGGTGTCTTAACGTGGTTCTTCCTTTTTAGCTCTGCGTCCTGATACCTGCAGAAGCCGGCCGAAAGGTAACGGGTGAGCAAGGGGGAGTACAGCACTCGGGTGGCTGATCGTAACACCGAGCGTTTCGAGGTGCTCTCCTAGGCAACGAGAGCTGATTTTCGATTCAGCTAGGGAGTTAGTTCCTCTGCACGAGGTCGGGTGAATCACATGTTGAAATTACGGCCATTGGTTGCACGGGTATCATTTTTTGAGTTCAGGCACTCGGGACCGATGGACGTCAGCTTTGAAAACACACGATAGGACTGAAATAGATCGAAGTTGTATTTTGTACTGACGAAGCGCTGCGTAATTCATCTGTTCTCTGAAGAGAGACTCAAGCATCTCTAATTCCGGGTACCCTGATGCATAGCGCTGTGCGCGTGCTACCTGATATCCCGTGCGGTAAGAAATCCTGATGTAGATGTTATCGAGCGGATCAGTTAGCGTACGGAAATGTTATTGGACAACAGGGAAATAGTAATGTTTGAGCCAAAGAGAAGTAAGTGTTGCTTAGTTATGATTCTAGATGGATTGTGCCGTAGGCGGTACCGAAATGCTACTGAGCGACCGGCGTGGATGGAACGAGCTACGGAACGAGCTGCGGTGCAGCGTTAGCGGCGTCTTTTCTGTCCTTGCAACAAAGAGGAAGTGCTCTGGGGGGAAAAAGAAGGAGCGATGTGTCGGTAGGAGGCAATCTGAAAAAGCATCTGTGTGCGGGGGTGAGGGAAGTAACGTCTGGGTGATTAGCGTTTGCTGTGATGCCGTAGTATTCTTTTGGTGTGGGGTACACGTGCCTAATTTTCAGCAGCTGCAAACTGGACATTATGTCATAGAATCATAGAATCTCCAAGGTTGGAAAAGACCTAAAAGCTCACCCAGTCCAACCGTTCACCTATTCCCAATAACTCCCAATAAACTATGTCCCTCAACACAACATCCAGTCTCTTTCCTCGAACACCCCCAGGCTCGGTGACTCCTCCACCTCCCTGGGCATCCATTGCCGTGCCTGACCACCCTTTCAGACAAGTAATACTTGTTCAAGTCCAGCCTGAATCTCCCCTGCCGGAGCTCGAAACCATTCCCCCTGGTGCTATCACTAATGACACGAGAGAAGAGGGCGACCCCCAGCTCCCTACAACCTCCCTTCAGGAAGTTACAGAGAGCAATGAGAGCAATGAGGTCTCCCCTGAGCCTCCTCTTCTCCAGGCTGAACGTTCCCAGCTCCTTCAGCCTCTCCTCATTCGGCCTGCGTTCCGGACCCCTCTCCAGCTTTGTCGCCCTCCTTTGAACACGTTCCAGGGCCTCAATATCTTTTTTGCAGTGAGGGGCCCAAAACCGGACACAGTACTGGAGGTGCGGCCTCACCAGCGCTGACTACGGGGGAACGATCACCTCTCTGCTCCTGCTTGCTACACTGTTTCTGATGCAAGCCAGGAAGCCGTTGGCCTTCTTGGCCACCTGGGCACACTGCCGGCTCATGTTCAGCCGGGCATCGATCGATACTCCCAGGTCCATTTCCTGTACGCAGTCCTCCAGGCACAGCGGCCCAAGCCTGTAGCGTCGCCTGGGGTTGTTGCGGCCGAAGTGCAGGACCGGGCATTTGGCCTTGTTGAAACTCATCCCATTGGCTTCAGCCCAGCTGTCCGGTGATGTCATGTGACGTTTGGGTAGTATTTGTGTATGTGACTGCCGGAGTAAGCTCCAACCTGTAGTTCTGTGCTAAACTGGTGTTTCTTAAATTTAAAAAAAACCATACTTACTTGTTAAGTTTTTACAGGTAGTTGTGAACAAGAGAGTGAATCAGAAGCTGGGCCTCGGGAACCGGGAGTTCTCAGTCAGCCTCTAGGGATACAGGACATTAAACGGACTCCCATCTTGGCGTGTCTTTTCCTTCTCGGGTTATGAGATCGAGGTATGTGGAAGAGAAACAGCTTGGAAATGCGCTTCTTGTACGTGAAGTCTGAGGCCAGTTTTTTCTGAAGCGGAGGGGCTTTCCAGTGCTAGCCGATTTAGGAAATAGGGCGATCGTCCGTTTTCTTCTTTGTACTAAGCGAGGAGAGCCCGTTAACGTTCTTTGCCAGTTCTCGCCTTAGCCTTCGCTGCCGTCTTTCTTATGCTGATGTGAGCAGAATGGCGCTGGTTTTTTGTTTGTTTTTCAGATTCCAATTTGTTTGTAGAGATGAACCGGAATTTAAGTGTGGGAGTCAACTACAGAAAGAGGCGATCGGGCTGTCCGAATGATCGTTCACGACAACGTCTTTCAAACTGCTTTTGCTTCATCAGGCGTTCCCTTTACCTGCAGATTGACTTTCCTAACGGTGTGTAATGTTAAGCGAAGACAGAAGGTTAGCTCACAATCAGCGTAATGAAGAAGCATCTTTTGAGCTAGTTACTTTGTCAGCCGTCCCACCCTCGCAGAGTACCGACACGTTAACGGCTCAACAGACTTATTGAAATGCAGTGGGTGGGAGCGATGCCGGTTGACTGCTACAGCAGCACCGACGCTCGTAGGCTGTTTTTCGGTCGCAGCGACTGCTGTTTGTTCGTGTGGATGCTTGGAAATTCTGAGGAAAGTATCAAGCCCGGGACTGTCCAAGCGCCCGTGCCACGGTAGGAGTCGCACTCGGGGGGGCTGGTCTGCGTTTTACGGCTTCCTCTGTCACTCACTCTTTGGGAAAAACGGAGTCGAGGAGCACATCAGTGGGTTTAGCTGGGACAGATCGAGGCCGGTTATTTCTGCAGCTTTAGAAGTTCGGGACTGAAAAGCATTATGCAAGCTGCAGTGACTTTTGGGGGCAGGGTGATAGGGTATTTGTTTGAGTGCTTAAGAAGTATCTATGTGGTTTCTTTATAGTGAGATTGTACTGTAGGCAGACAATTAGATCGCTAATGTTTCAAGATCCGTTTATTTCATTTGACAGTACAAAATAAATTGCTGCAGTTTTACTGGCTAAAATAGGTCCAGCGAGCAGAGCTGTCTCTTAAGTTTATCACTCTATATTGTTACTGTTGCAGAAGGTACAGCTCCGAGATTGTCGTTGGCCGTGCTTGAATCAAGTGGCACGTTGTATCTCAGAATAGGGGCAGCGATGCGGGTTACTGGTATTTGTCTCTCCGATCCCTCCGACGCCTGATACACGGGAAAAGTCTTCCAGGTACGCGTCCTCTTGACTCGCTCTCTGATTTTTTCCACGTGATGGCTGCGTTGCTCAGGAATATAAGTGAAAAAATAGCAGTAGGAAAAAAAAATTTTATTGTCCGTGTCATTTGGATGGCGTTTAAAGACAATAGAGCAGCTACAACTGTCGGCAAGCGTGGACAAGCCCCGAGCAAAGTTTCCTGCAACAGACCGGGGGAGAATAGGAGCACGTCACTATTTCTGCTTACTTCTCGTTGTCCAAAACAGAAATTTAAGGGTTTAAAATTAAGCACACAGTAGTATTACTGGAAAGTAAGCCCTGGAAAAACACCATTCTTGGGAGCGGCTTTTTCCACCTCTTTAAGTGAAATACGTCACCGAAAGGCAAGCCTTTTGTGCAAAGTCACGGCAAAGACTGAGTTCTCTAAAAATAGCTTAAGCTCTTTGAACTGTGTCTTTGTGCACAGTAACCTTTTCAAAGCGAAGGAAGAAAATCAGTCGTTCAAGCTGCGGCAGTCGGAGTCACACACCGGCGCATCCTCGTAGATCCTTGTAGAGAGGTCGCCTGTGGAAGGTAACACAAAGCAGTCGTTTCGGAACGCTCAAGATATTCAAATCAGCCGTGGGTTGGGGTTTAGGTGTCTTTGAAGATCTGCGTTCTTGTTAAAATACATCAGTACTCCCTGTCACAGTATATCAAGTGTCATTCTCACACGGTGCTTCACCTAAAAGTATCCAGCACTATCTGTTTGTTTAACAAGTGTCCTCTTTCCCTCTCCTTTTTAAATTGACTCCGTTACTTGCCTTAAACTGTAACGTGAGCTTTAAAAATGGTTTTCCAAGGTCTAAATCGCCTACTCACAGCCCGAATACTTCTAGCTGAAAGCATAATTAAGTCTGCCGTCAGATATAAACGCACGTCTCCAATAAACTTACATAGGTGTCAGAGGACTGTTTAAGCTAAAGTATCTTTACTGCACATGTTCCATTATGCAGACCTAACTATACAAGCATAACCATTTTACGCACGTTGGAGCCGTTTCGCTATGCAATTAAGCCCGTCTCATTGTCATTCGTCTAATCTTCTATTTATCCTGAGAGTTTTCTTTGTGTCGTAACCGTGCTGCGAGCAGACGGTTTTCATTTGACCTTCTGTCGTCACTTCACATTCTTCCGTGAAC